GGGCAAGGCGTTGTGCCCTTGAGACGTGCGGGAAAAAAATGCGAGCTCTGCTTTCAGGCTTGGCTAAATCTATGTATTATGCATGGCATGCAAATCATTTGGGTGGCTATAAATAAATAATGTGACTTTCAAAGAGTTAACACGTGAAGGCTCTGTTTAGTTTTTGGAACAGATTATATTAGCAATTATTAATAAAGGAACATTCCTGAAATAAGTCTAACGTCTTCCAAAAACATTAGAACCTTTGCTCCTCTGATTATTGGTGATCACTCCAAGATTTTTTTAAGAACTTAAGAGGCTTTTGCGCTGAAATATCATCATAGATAGCACCCTTCAATTTGATCAGAATTATGAAAAACTAGTTTTATGATCATATCGAGGCTTGATATGAGCTGCCATACTAATCGTATCTCGACCAACTTAGCCCTGCTATATTCTCTACTCGTAGCTGAAGGAAGAGCACGGTCAATATCACAATTACAGCTATGCAATTCCATAGCACCTCGACTTTCTCAAGGTACATGTATCGTAACCCTCCTCGTGATCGAGATCTGTATCTCCAAATCTCAGGTGCTTGACGGGTAGATGTGTTTTGTTAGTGAGGAGGCTATTGTCTTCGCGCCATTTTCTGTCATTCGCATCACAGTTACACTTACGAGCTACATTTGCGCCTGTGCCTTTTATCCCGATTGCGCACTTACTGCTCTTAGCTGCTGCTCCGTCCCGATAGGTTATTTTGATGGAATCAGATGACACCCACCAGGCGTATGCTATGTTTTTGGTGAATAGTTTTGAAGATTTACACTCGCATTTTACGAACTGTTCACAAAGCTGGGAAAGCCTGGTGATGCTCATTAGCTAAGGAAAGCTCGCACCCGTATAATGAATGTCACGTTAATAACAGCCGGAGGATTTACAATTGTCCTCTGTTATCCTGTTTTCGCTATTGTGACTTAAGACAGTCACGCCAACTCCATCCCTATTAGTCATGTCACAGGTGACATTATAAGGCATCAGTCCTCCTTCACCATCAGGATCAATGACATCATGGCCAGTTTTTCTTATGGTGTCGAGAGTCCTCAATTCACTGCAAGACTTGACTTCTGGTGAAAAAGATTAATATTTGATGTTAACTACAAAGGTGACAAATTAATGACGTAGCAAACTACAGATGTCATGGTTCTAGGCTAGAGAAAAATTTAACATAGGGTCAATCCCCATTTAACTTGGGCACTCTGAATGCACGTCGTTCGTTTCAATCAGATCCCGTGCCAAATATAAACAACTTTTTTGTAATAAAATATTTACTTACAATGGCATACATTACTTACAATAACTAAACCCCAATACAACAAATTACCCACAATACATCACTTGCTATACAGTTTGTGTCTAAATAACCTCTGACACATTACCCAACGTTTGATTCATTCTTTCCATATTGTTTTTGTAACAATAGTCTGAATACCACAGGAAACAGTTTTTTCGTTATCTTTTTCACATTGTTCCCCCGTGTAACCCACTGGACATAGGGAAATTTATTTCTTATCTGTAAATCCATAGAAGCAGGTCGCACCGTGGAGACAGGAGTTACATAGATTCTGAAGGATAGAAAAATGAGTTTCATCAAGACAATTAGCCCAAGAAAATCAAAGCGAGTAGAAAAGTATTGCATCGTAACGCCTTAATTCATTTGTAGAAGTTCAAGGGCTTAATAACCCCCTGATGAGTCCTAATAAGAGTAAAACACCCTCTCATGCATCGCGTGATAGATGGTCTAAGTCATGGGCTTTCTGTTTTCTTAGTTATTGAACAAAAACAGAACTTACAAACAGAGAAATTTGTGACGAAATGCCTACTGTAGTTTGTCATGAGTTAAATATCCACGACATACGGATCAATTAGATGACTATATATTAAAACAAGAGATTATAAAAAACAAATTAAATCGACTGAAAGTTCCACCTGGGTGGTGAAGTTTTATTTTATTGGTGAATTCATAGAGGGGTATCGCAATAATTCATTGAATACTTCACACTAAAATTATCAAATATAAAAGCGTTACATAAGGCAAATTCCCCGAAATGTCACATCTATAAACTTTCATTCAATTTGACTAGTCAAACGCGGCTAGGACTTATATATAGCAAGAGTAATTAGCAATGCAAATGTAACCTTCAATTTAGCTATGACGAAATTGGTTATATAATTTTAATTAACAGCTAACTTTCAAATACTTTAGGTAACATATAACTAAACTTATATATAGTCCCTTCCAAGAGAAGCGGCTGAGTGACTAGCGCTTCCTTAGGGTGTTACTTGCAAGTCAATTGTTTCATTGAGGTTATTTTACGGAAGAACAATTCTGTTTCTGGATCAAAGTATGTTTTTCAGTATGTGATACAGTAACACTCCTCGAAATAAAATTCGGTCTTCTTTCATCTAGACTCAAGCCTCTGCCATCCTGATTATTGGTAATTACTCAACAAGTGTTTGTAGGAATTAAAAGCACAAACTTAGATACAAGGTGCCATATTAATTGTATCTCGAACAACTTGGTCCTGCGGCATACTCAAAGCTAAAGAAGAGCAAGTTCGAAAGTCAGTTTTTTTTTTCACTACAACTAAGCAATTCCATAGCACTTAAACTTTCCTAAGGTATGGTGACCCTCCTCTTTATTATTATTTGTATCTCCAAACCTCAGCTGCCTGACGGGCAAATGCGTCTTGTTAGTGAGGAGGCCACTGTCTTCGCGCCATTCCTCGTCATTTGTATCACAGTTGCATCGACGTCTTTTTTTTACGCACGTGCCATTTATCCCGCATGCACACTTATTACTATTAGCTTCTGCTCCGTCCCAATAGGTCATATTGATGAAATCGCGTGACATCCACCAGGCGAAAGTTCTGTTTTGGGCCTTCGAGGATATTTTTGAGGTGAATATTTTTGAAGCTTTACAATCGTACTTTATAAACTGTTCACAGTACTTAGAAACCCTGGTGAGACTCGCCAGTTGAGGAAAGCTCGCTCCTGTATAGGAGATGTTACGTGAGTAACAGCCTCGGTCTTTACATTTGTCCACTTGTGTTTTGTTTTCGCTATCGTGACTTATGACTGTCACGCCAACACCGTCCTTGTCGGTCATGTTACACGTGACGTTAAATGGCTTCAATTTTCCTTCACCGTCAGAATCAATGACATACGGGCCGGTTTCTACTGTTGAGTCGAGCATCTTCACGTCGCTGCAAGACTTGGCTAATCAAAGAATAGAGGTTTACGGTTAGATTCTTTAACCACAGTTAAGAATACAGTACATCTTCACTAACTACCATAAACTAAATATCAATGGGAAGGTTATGAAATGCACTATTCGACAAAAAGTATTTCGTTTTAGCTTGATCCAATCCAAATAGACAATGTTTCTTTGAGCCAATCAATCGCATATCAAATCTGATCGCATAAATAACAATTTCTGTATAGTTTCAATCCTTTGGGGTCGGTCTTCAACCCCATGTGGGGATTTGTCGATGTTCTACTCGGTTACTTTGCAATTTATCTGTTAAGTTTGCGATCAAAGTTTAAACGAAACGCATTACGACGGAGGCCATCGCGGGAGATCCATTTTGAAAAACGTAATTTCCCTCATGGTCTTTTAGGTTGGTATCTTGGGAGTCTTCGGACCAAACTTCAAGGAAATGCGTAAAGTTTATAACCCTGTTAAATCGTTCAAAGAAGGCACATTAGCGTAAAAACGAATTACGTTCGTTCTTTTTGCTTCTAAAGTTTTCCCAACAATTCACGTCTTTGGGTGAACACACGTTGAGTTATGTCAACACTCTGAGAAACTACTTGAATCACAGAAGCGTCCGGCAGAGTCTCAGGAGACTCTCAGCAAAAACTTATTTTGCGGGTAACTCAAGCAATTACCAGTAACTCGTGGTAACATATCGAGACAGACCATTAATTCAATTCTGTTGAATGACAGTTTTGATTTTAACTACCTTTTTTTTAAACTTAAGAGCAACGCGGAAAAACTTGCCGATCGAATGCGAGAAGCGAAGATTGCCTAAACCACGATAGAATTTGTTGACTTCTTCTGCTGACAGCCAGGCTTCTTTTTCACTTTCACCTCTTCTCCTATTGATCTTTCTCCATTCACTTTCTAGTTGAATTCGCAGACAGATAGCAAAGATCTCCACGTACAAACGAACCAGGAGATGTTTACGCAGTTGAAATTCAAGGACCAGAATGTTTTGCCGCAAGAAACCCTTCGGGAGTCATTTATATTGACATGTCGTAATTGACTATTCACATTTTGGTGGACTGAATAATTCAGTTCAAAAATACGTTTTTATGAATAACTCGTGTGCGTTTCAATACATTTCCTAAATTTTTTCCTGAAAACTATTGTTACAATAATAATAATACTTAGACTGACATGACAGTTGAAGCGATTAGAGAAAAGTTAAGAAGCCGGAAAAAAAGAAAGAAGACTTCGTCAAGATTCGAACCCATGCCTCCCGAATACTGTCGAAGTCCGAATTTTTCCAGGCCTCTCTAATTACCGCAATCGTATCAGTTGTGGCCTACTTGCAAAGCTCTTTCCTTTTCCGCAGGTCA